TTGGCAATCGAGTGACCTCTTAATTTACTGTTATCTTTTGTTTTAAAAAAGTAATTCTGCTATTTCTTCGAATTCGTTGGAAACAGGCTTGATTTCCATTGTTCTCTCTACGATGGGTTCCGGGTCCATAGACGAAATGGGTGTTGAGTTAGGGCCTCCATCACGCATGGATGTTCAAGAGTCAGGCTCTTCGGGGATTGATGATGCTGATTCACGGTCTTCTTCTGAGATGAATGGTATGCCAGAGTATCCGTCAAAGAAGCAAAAAATTGGTGAAGATGGGATGGATCCCAGGCTTTCCTCTTGGAACAATATACCCTTGTTTTTCGAGTCCATGGAAGTTGAGTTGGGGTCTCAATGCATGGATGTTCTAGAGTAACTGCATGCTCCGAGCTGTATTCATCGAGAAACGACTTTGAGATGGTTGTAGTTGCAAAGATGAACCAATTGGCCAATTACGAAGTGTTTTTCAATCACTTTTTGTCGGGATTCCCCACTCCATGTCTTGTAGTACCATTCGAAGACTCGGAGCGCCGTGACTTTATATGCAAATACCTTGACCTCCATGCATGCTATGACATAGGATGTCTCATTTTGGAGAAGGATACGGATACCAAGAGAAACATTTTGTTTTGTGAGAGTCCTTACTTTGCACTGAATTATGGTGCTGATGCCTTTCCCTTTACTCGTGAGAAATTGCAGGAAGTTAGAGCAAATGACCATAGGTGGTGGGATGGTGATGTTCCTCCTCCAGCCAACCTTGAAGAACTTTTAGGGTGCAATCCGTATGATATTCTTCAGAAGACTCCTTCACCAGGGGACCATGAGGAGGCGACTATATTGGAACTCAGCAGGAAGATTGTTGGGGTGTACGCGTGCGTTTCTGGAGATTTGATTCCCACTCTTGGGAAGGTGTATCAACAGTGCAGAGCTGAAGAGAGAGAATTTGAGATAGTGCTGGTGTCCATACCCTTGTTTGCTGACTCTCTTGACCCACAGGTTCACATGGCGAACATTGTGAGTTTGTTGCAGGAGTCGGGGATATCGTGGTGGCAGTTTCCCCCCTCTGGGAATCCAAACAAGCTCTTCAACAGCTCTGTAAGCTTTAGGGTCAGTCGATGTCTTTGCA